AAAAAAAAAAAAAAAACTCACAGAAATGCGGATAGAATTCAGAACTATTTTAAATTCAGAACAACTGTTTTTTAAAAATCTAAAAATGTAAAAAAAAAATCTAAAAACGTAACTAGTTTTTCTTTACTTAAACTTCTACTATTTTTCCACTCCAACTCTAAGCAGATGACTTATTTTACTAAATGAGACTAAGTGAGATCACCTAAGCAACGATCTCTTTCCTCTACTCTCCTCAGTGTATCTCTTTTCTAAACCCACACAAAATTTTCATCCTCTTGAAGGTAACTTCTCGCAGTACCGTGGGGAGAGTCTGCTCAGTTCCATAGGGATAATGCTCCCACTTTCCTAAACCAGAAATTCTCCCTTTGCTCTCTCCTAACAACTTTTCCTCTCAGCTGAAAAAACTCATTGGACCTGACTGTGCAAAGAACTTGCTCCGTTTCTTTACTAGGTTACACTGTGAAATTGTAGTTTTCACTCTGACTTCTCTAGCCCATGTAAACCACTTCTTTTTTCTTTTAAATTGACTTGCCCTTTAGTTGTCATGTCAATACCGTTTTTCTATTTCTCTCTCTATTTTCTGAATACTGCTTATGTTGCCTTGCCTTAATCCTATTCTTTTTCTACCTTGTAGAAGGAAATAGGAAAAAAAAACTACTTTCAAAGTAACTCAACCATGATACCAAGAAGGTGGCAGGGAAAATGAAGAAATGGTAAATTCAAGTACTTCAAGTACTTTGAAAGAAGAAATTAAAGGGCATAGTGATATACTGAATATAGGGTTTTAGAAGAAAAGGGGGAAAAATCTAAGAACACTCCCAGCCTTTAGCTTTAGCGTGGAAGAATAATGTTGCCTTTCACAGAAATAATGGGAAAAGGAACCTGACTTGAGACAGACAGATGGTAAAATCAAATTTAGGCATTCCCAAAGCAGCTGCCTAGATCATGAAGGAAACTGGAAACAGGGAACTAGTTAAAAGGTGAAAATTAAGAGCTAACAATGTGGCTTTATGGTCCAATAATTATGAAAACCTGTACATAATGCTTTAGCACTTACCAAGCAATTATGTAACATATACATGATAATTGAAGAGAGCTGTTTTCTAAGAAAGACTGAAAAAAAGTACATCAGAGTTCTTAATTTATGATGTGATAACACTTGGTAAAAAAAGACAGGGAAATGCATGGATCAATTATTTTAGCTGATGGGACCAGTTGGAGCTGTGCTTAAAGACAATTCCAAGTCACAAGTGGATCCCTTAATTCTCTGTCTACTCATACAATCCTGTCTAGAACATGGTCCACAGAATGTTATCCATATGGTCAGAAACTCACTTTAAGTCAAGAGTTATTAATTCAAAGGGGGAGAAAAGTACATTTTATTTTATTTTTTTTAAGATTTTATTTATTTGAGAGAGAGAATGAGAGATAGAGAGCACGAGAGGGAAGAGGGTCAGAGGGAGAAGCAGACCCCCCTGCTGAGCAGGGAGCCTGATGTGTCCCCCCCGGGACTCCGGGATCATGACCTGAGCCGAAGGCAGTCGCTTAACCGACCGAGCCACCCAGGCGCCCGAGAAAAGTACATTTTAAAGAATTATCAGAAAGCAAAGGGCTGTATTATTACCACTCAGGTCAAGACAGAATACAGCCAGAACTCCAAAAGCCTCCCTATGCTTCCTCCCAATCACAAATTCTTTCTCCCTTCTAAAGTTAACAGTTTTAGGGCACCTGCGTGGCTCAGTCGGTTAAGTGTCTGACTCTTGATTTTGGCTCAGGTCATGGTCTCAGGGTCGTGAGGTCGAGCCCCATGTTGGGCTCCGTGCTGGGTGTGGAGCCTGCTTGGGATTCTCTCTTCTTCTCCCTCCATCCCCGCTGCCCTGCTCATGCACTTTCTCTAAATAAATAAATAAGTAAATAAAAATTAAAAGGAAAGTTACCAGTTTTTCTGAATTTTATGGTAGTCACTTCCTTGCTTTGTATAATTTTGTAGCCGATGCATAAAAAACAATTCCATTTTCCCTGTTTCTAAAGTTTTTGTTTAAAAAAATCATATAATTTATATTTCTTTTGTGTCTGGCTTCTTTCCCACAATATTATGTTTATGAGATTCATATATGTTGAATATAACTCTAAATCCATTCATTTTCATTGCTGTATAATATTCTTTGAATATGTCTCAACTTGTTATCCCTTCTACTACTAACGGACACTTATTTTTTTTTAAGATTTATTTATTTTAGAGAGAGAGCAAGAGTGAGCAAGGGCGAAAGGGGCGAGGGGCAGAAGAAGAGGGAGGGAATCTCAAGCAGACTCTCCGCTGAGCACGGAGCCTGATGCGGGGCTCAATCTCACAACCCTGAGATCATGACCTGACCTGAAATCAAGAGTCCAATGCTTAACCAACTGAGTTTTCATTTTTTCGTTTTCAGCTTTGGGTTATAGATAATGCTGTTATCTGAATGAATATTCTTCTACACTCCTGGTACACATATGTCTCTTTTTAGATGCTTAAAGAGGATAATTATCTTTAACTAGGTAACTTTTCTAAAAGAGCTATATTAATTTATACTCTTATTAACAGTGTATGAGAATCCCTGTTGCTCAAATATCCTTATCAACAGTCAATCTGTTTAGTCTTAGCTCTTCTGGCAACATGACTTTAATTTGCATTTCCCTGGTTAGAAGTGTGGTTGATCACTTTTTCATGTGGTTACTGGCTATTGGATATCCTTTCTGTGAAGTGCCTGTTTAAGTATCAACCATTTTTTATGTTTTTTTTCTTAATGATTTACATGAGTCCTTTGTATTTTCTGGATTGAGCCCTTTGGCGGTTATAGATGTTGCAAATATCTTCTATTCCAAGACTTGCCTTTCTACTCTCTTAATGGTGTCTTTTTTTTTTTTTTTTTAAGATTTTTTTATTTCTTTATTTGACAGAGAGAGAGAGCAGAAGCAGGGGGAGAGGCAGAGGCAGAGGCAGAGGGAGAAGCAGACTCCCCGTGGAGCAGGGAGCCCAACATGGGGCTTGATCCCAGGACCCTGGAATCATGACCTGAGCCGAAGGCAGCTGCTTAACTGACTGAGCCACCCAGGCGCCCCTTAATGGTGTCTTTTGATGGAACTAAAGTTCTTAATTTTAATGATATCCAATTTATTAATCTTTTCCTTTATGGTTAGTGCTTTTTTTTAAAGATTTTTATTTATTTATTTGAGAGAGCGGGAATGAAAGAGAGAGAGAGCACATGAGAGGGGGGAGGGTCGGACGGAGCAGACTCCCCGCTGAGCGGGGAGCCTAATGCGGGACTCGATCCCGGGACTCCAGGATCATGACCTGAGCCGAAGGCAGTTGCTTAACCGACTGAGCCACCCAGGCGCCCTATGGTTAGTGCTTTTTGTGTCCTATTTAAGCAGTCTTTCCCTACGTCAAGGTCATAAATGTTATTCACCTTTATCATCTTCGGGGGATTGTTTTATTGTTTTGCTTTCACATATATTCTATAGTCCACCTGGAATTGAACACTGTGTGATGAGAGAGGGAGATGCCAAGTTTCATATGGCTATCCAATTATCTCAGCACCATTTACTGAGAAAATTGTCTTTTCTCTCACTGATCTGCAATGCCATCTTTGTCATAAATCAAGTGTTCATACATTTGTGAACCTGTTTCTGGGCCCTCTATTCTAATCCATTGGTCTACTTGCCTTTTTTCACAATATCACAATGTCTTAAGTATGTAGTGTTATAAAATTGTAATATCTGGTAGCTCAATTCCTCGTGTTTTGTTCTTCTTCAAGAGTGTCTTGGTTATTCTGGTGCTTTGTACTTCCACTTTTTTTTTTTTTACTTTTTAAGTAAGCTCTAGGCCCAACATGGGGCTTAAACTCAAGACCCCAAGATCAAGAGTTGCATGCTCTACCGACTGAGCCAACCAGGCACCCCTGTACTTCCACTTTAGAATCAGCTTATCAAGTTATACATACACAATCACCCACACACAGAGTTAGCATTTTCATTGGGATTGTGCAGTGAATCTGTAAGTCAGTTTGTGGAGAACTGATATCTTTGAAATATTGGGTCTTCTAATCCATGAACGTGGTCTAATCCTTCAAATATTTGAGTCTTCTTTAATTTTTGTCAATATTTTATTGTTTTCCATATAGATGCCTTATATATCTGTTGTAGTTTATTTCTAGGTACTTAATTTTTTTCATACTATGACAAACGATATCTGTAGTGGATTGAATGGTGGCTCCCCGAAAGATATGTCCACATCCTAACCCTCAGAACTTGTGAATGTGACTTTATTTGGCAAAATCGTTTTTGCAGATGTAATTAAGTAGAGGATCTTGAGGTTGAGATATCCTGGATTATCTGGATGGCCCCTACATCTAATGATAAGTGCTCTTATCAGTAAGTTATCAGTAAAAAAGCAAAGGGAGAAGGAGAAGACCATGCAAAGAAGGAGGCAGAGACTGGAGTTACGAGCTAAGAAATGCCTATGGAAGCTGGAAGAGGCAAGGAAGGATTCTCCTCTAAAGCCTTTGGAGGGAGCACGGCCCTGTTGATTTCAGATGTCTTGATTTTAGACTTCCAGCCTTTAGAAATATGTATGAAAGAATAAATTTCTGTTGTTTTAATCCACCAAATTTGTGCTAATTTTTTACAGCAGTCCTATGAAACAACTTGTTTTACCCAAGAACACACTTGTTTCTCTCCAACCAACCAAACCAATCTCCAAAGGTATCCACACTTAATGGCAGCGAAGGTGTACATATCTACATGAACATAGGAGACACAAACTTTTAAAAGAAAGTAGTATTCTGGGTGCCTGGGTGGCTCAGATGGTTAAACGTCTGCCTTCAGCTCAGGTCATGATCCCAGGGTCCAGGGATTGAGCCCCGCATCAGGCTCCACGCCTGCTTCTCCCTCTCCCTCTACTGTTCCCCCTGCTTGTGCTCTCTCGCTCTCTCTGTCAAATAAATAAATAAAATCTTTAAAAAAATAAAAAATAAAAGAACGTAGTATTCAGATGTATAAGCTATCCTGTTGCTGTTTAATATGAGTGAGGAATGTCATTTCATACATAGGCCAGCATGTGTGATACCAAATCCCAGCTCTGATCACTTACACTATCATACATAATATATTGAAAGTGAACAAAATGAAGATGCTTCAAAGACAGAAAGTGGCTATGTTTCACATAGGACACTGGCAAGACCAGCAGTAACTTGCTTAGCATTAAACTAACCATTTTTCGGTGGACTGCAATGATGTAGCCTGTAAAGGAATTGTCAGGAAGAGATGGCATATGACCATTCACCATTCCATTTGTGAAGTTTTTCTCAGTTCCACATGGCACAACAGTGTTTGGCATTCCATTGGGTATGAATATTGGTCGGGGCAAGTCCCCATTGGTGGTTAGAGTGAACATTCCATTTGTAGATGGGGAAGAGGAGAAATCTACAAATTCAAAGATAAGGATAGCATCATAAGCTTGTGGTGCCTTCATCTTTGCTCTTTTCTCAAATAATGTGGGGACTCTGACCACTGTAGTACAGTCTCTTTTAGCAAAGGACAGGGAGAAATCATAGTTCAAATAGTAATTCTAGATTGATTAGAAGATTTTAATTTCAGATTTTACTTTTATAACTCACACTTAAGACTAAATGACAAAGCAAGAATAATTGCTGGAAAGTTTTCTGAATAGTATAAGTAAAATTTTTGTAAGAACCTTTATCAGCACTATATTGTTACATGCAGTTTTCTTTTTCCTCTCTACAAATTCATTTCTCCATTCTCTTAAAAATGTTTTGTTGAATACAGTAGTCTCTAGCTAGATGTTGCCTTTTTTTTTAACTTTACACAGATTTCCCATATACCCTAGGTCTCCACAACTGTAAAGCCTTCCCCATTAGCAACACCCCCCCAACCAAAGTAATATATTTGTTACAAATGATGATGAAAGATACTTTTTAAATTTAAAATAAAAATGCAATTTTTTCAGTCTCAACAGTGCTCAACACTCCATGTGACTAGTGGATATTCTATTAGATGCAAAAGGTTATAGGATAGACAAACAATACTATATGGTCAAAAAGACGAGATAACCATATCAAATCACATGCAATATTAGATAAACAGTAATTCTTCTTTTGTTTTTCTTTCCCACCCTAATCCTAAAGAGATTATTTTTTAGTTGTGTTTATTATTTTGTTTTCTGATAGTATATATCTCTTATGCCATCTGCTGACATGTTAGTGTCACATAAAAAGAATTAAGAGATCTGAATTCCAGTGGCAGATTTAGTTAAGCATCTACTTGTCACTTACACTGCCTGAATTTTAGGCTCCTTGTCTAAAAAATGAGGAATTTGAGCCAAATGATCACCAAGGTTTCCATCAGGCTCCAAAATTCTTTTGCCCAAATATCCTTAGCCCAAACAAATATAAACCCAATATTTAAAGCTAAAATCAAAAGAAGGAGCTCTAGTTCTACCTTACCTGTCTGTATTGGACTAGAAGCTGAAATCGGAGATCCAGGAATGGGGATTTCAAATGCACACAAAAATCCACTTACTGAGAGTCGTACTTTTTGGTTGTCCTGAGGGAAATTCTACAGAAAAAGAGGTAAGATGAGCAGGGGGAAATGTTTCAGGTAAAATGGAAAATCATCTCTCTGATACATACAAGCTCATGTCTTCGATGCTTCCACCAATAAAACAAATAAGATGATTGAATAATTTTTATCAAACAACTAAAAGATGAAAGCTTGAAATACCGACTGAAAACTAACCTGACAAAACCGTTATCCCTTTCCATAGGAAAGAAGTATATTGTGTGTAACTGGCTCCTTAAGTTTTGTCCCTCGTTTCAAGCATCTAAACCCCAACCTCAGAGAGTTCTTACCTTTGCTTTACACATGAGAAAAACATCAATTAGGTGAGTTTGTTTAGAAACCCCAAAGATAAATATTAATAATACCAATGGTAGGAGCTCAAATCAGGGTAGGTAACGTTATTTTATTAGAAAATTTTTTAAACTTATTTTATTTAAATTCAATTAGCGGGGGCGTCTGGGTGGCTCAGTCGTTAAGCGTCTGCCTTCGGCTCAGGTCATGATCTCAGGGTCCTGGGATCGAGCCCCGCATTGGGCTCCCAGCTCGGCGGGAAGCCTGCTTCTCCCTCTCCCATTCCCCCTGCTTGTGTTCCCTCTCTCGCTGTCTCTGTCAAATAAATAAGATCTTTAATAAAATAAAATTCAATTAGTGTATCATTAGTTTCAGATGTACAGTTCAGTTATTCATCTAGTGCTCATTGCATCACTTGCCCTCCTTAATGCCCAATACCCAGTTACTCCATCCCTCCCCATGTAAATTTATTTTTTTATTTCAAATTTTTTAAAAATTCTAGTTAGTTAACATATGGTGTAATATTAGTTTTAGGCAATATACTTGTTAAACTGCTTATTTTTGTAGCTGGTATGCAGGAAGAAGTGACCTACGTCAATTTGTCTTTGCTCTCTAACTTCTTAAGAGTATTGAAAGGCCAGGTGTATATATTCATAAAGAAACAGCAAAAGCACACATTTATAAATATGTATAAAGTTTTAACCTAGGAAGAATTCTAGTGAGCGTGGTAATATAGAAGAGCTATAGGGGCGCCTGGGTAGCTCAGTCGTTAAGCGTCTGCCTTCGGCTCACGTCATGATCCCAGGGTCCTGGGATCGAGCCCCGCATCAGGCTCCCTGCTCCGCGGGAAGCCTGCTTCTCCCTCTCCCACTCCCCCTGCTTGTGTTCCCTCTCTCGCTGTGTCTCTCTCTGTCAAATAAATAAATAAAATCTTAAAAAAAAAAAAAAGAAGAGCTGTAAAGTGTAGCAGCAGTAGTCAATAGGGGAATTCTATACTGTAGTGACATAGCTAGATTACTCCATACAGATAGCACTGGACTCATATATTTCCCTTCTTTAAAAATGCCACTATCGTTATTACTTCTTTATGCTGGCAGATAACCCTTTTTAAAGCTTCTGGGATGGGAAACGAGAAATTTTTTTGTTGTCTTTGTTGTTACTAGTATCTCCTTCAGTCATTAATTGATAAAACTGTGATTTTTTTTTATTTAAAAGATTTATTTTATTTATCTGAGAGAGAGAGGTGGGGGGGAGAGTAGAGGGAGCAGACTCCCCGCTGAGCACAGAGGTGGATGCAGGGCTTGATTCCAGGACCCCGAGATCATGACCTGAGCTGAAATCAAGAGTTAGCCGCTCAATCGACAGCCATCCAGGAGTCCCGAGAAAACTGTGATCTTTGAAGGATGGAATCAAGGGTTTCTTAGAAAGAATAGTTAATATTACCTTTATGTTGGAACCATGTACTTCTGCAAGAAGGATTTGTTCTGATTTAAGCCCACAGAGATCGCTCAGCTGTTTTTTTAATCCCGTGTACTTTTCATCCATATTCAGTCGTAGTCCATATCGTACAGGGGTAGTACCATCCAGCTTAATAACTAGTAAAGAAAAAACATCTTTTATCAGTAAAATGCAGGTTTCTTTGAAAGCTTTCCTGTGTGTGTGTGTGTGTGTGTGTGTGTGTGTGTGTGTGTGTGTGAGAGAGAGAGAGAGAGAGAGAGAGAGAAAGAGAGAGAGACTTGGAAATAGCAAACATTTCAGTCTAGAATTTTTTTTTGAAGATTTTATTATTTATTTGAGAGAGAGGGATAGAACATGAGCAGGGGGAACAGCAGAGGGAGAGAGAGAAGCAGAGTCCCTGCTGAGCAGGGAGCCCAATGTGGGACTCCAACCCAGGACCCTGGGATCATGACCTGAGCTGAAGACAGACACTTAACCGACTAAGCTACCCAGGCGCCCATCAGTCTAGAATTTTTATTTTATTTGTAAACTACAATAGATAGTACTCGGGGATGATATTGAATGAAATCATTATTATTTTTTTTAAAGATTTTTTATTTATTTATTAAAGAGAGAGAGACAGCGAGAGATGGAACACAAGTAGGGGGAATGGGAGAGGGACAAGCAGGCTTCCTGCTAAGCAGGAAGCCTGACACGGGGCTCGATCCCAGGACCCTGGGACCATGACCTGAGCCAAAGGCAGACGCTTAACGACTGAGCCACCCAGGCACCCGAAATCATTATTTTTTGATGTTCATCTGCTACAGAAGTGTGAATGGCTTTGCAAGATTGTAAAGAGTTTCTGGTATGTTTGAAACAACAGAGGAATCAATGGGTACAAGGCTTGGACCTATATTCCAGGTCTTTCAAACTTCAACTTATGCCTAAAATTAGATTGCTAGATTATAACATGCTGGCCAATTTTTATGAGAATGCATTATAAAGAAATGACTATACTTACAAATTCGGGTTACCTGAATAAGTTAAAAGACACTGAAGTAATTTTTCAGAACTTTGTGACCTACCTGTTATTTCTAAGTGCATATAACTGTCCATTGGGAGTGGTAAAGACAAAAAATTGAAAGGGTCAAATCGGACACTTATATGCCCACATGTCTTGCATCTGACTTGGGACCTCAGCTGCCCATGGAACAAATCCACAACAATTGATCTATTCCTTCTCAGATGGTTGTCCCAGGCCTAGCAAGGAAAAAGATTAGAGAACTTTTTTCCCCCAAAATTCAAAAGATAATTATTTCTACACAAATTCAAATAAATTGGCTAAATCTGTTAGGTTTAAATGTCAAGAATATAATCCTCTGAAACTAATATAACATTGTGTATCAACTATACCCCAATAAAAAAAAGAACATAATCCTTAAACTTCATTTAAAATACGGAAGCTCTCTGCCTGTAAATTTACAATGCAGTATGTAATTTAAAATGTACCACCTACTGAGATAGTACAGAAAACCGGTTCTTGAATGGAATGTGATTCTTTCTGTTCAACCTATATGATATTAAATACAGATGGAAAATCCTATTTTTTTGTTCTTACCATTGTGACAATGATGAGTATTAAAGTTCTTTATCCATTAAAAGGCAGATAAAACATGCCTATTGGTCACTGTACACATTATTTTAGCAATTATGGGGACTCCAAGTTCTACTGAATAATTATTCCTACATTCTTTCCCAAAAGTTTACAATGTAAAAAGGCAACATTTTAAAACTTGCATTAAAGATGCTTTGTTTTGGTGTTACTGAACAAGAATTAAACAGAGAAATATAAATTCCTTCACTTCCACAGTACAATTCTGATCACAGAATAGTTTAGCTAGCATTTACGTTGTGCAACACACATTTATGGCCAGAACATTTGATCTATTGCTTACATTAGAAATTCAAAACTGACAAACCTCTGCAGCTACTTCCCAGTCTGGTCGGCCATCGCTGTCCTTCAGTTCCACATATGGCTTCTCATGGACTCGGTTGAGATCCTCATGAAGACCATCCAAGAGAAAAGCCAGAAGTTCTTGGGAGTCTTGTTGCTGGAACCCATTAAACCTGGGAGCATATTTTGCTATGGTCCACTATAAATATAACAGGAATCAAACTCATTATTTGCTACCCCATAAAATTTGGAATGAACATGCCCCATCATTCATTCAGAGGCATTATGAGAAGGTAAACAGTATTTAGTCTGCCTTGATTTCAGCAAATATATTTTGAATAATCACGAAATCTTTCTAGTCTTAATCTCAAATGACAAAGAAAAAAAGGTATTTTGGCCAATACTGTGTCCCAGTTCAGTATCATATAAGCAAACAGTTCTTTAGGTACACAGATATTATTTAAGACAGGTAGGACACAAATATTAAAATAGCTTTTGCTCTCATTGAAAAAGTTCCTGTTACAGTTTTCTTTTACAGTTAACTCTTCTAGTCTTGTATCCTAACTTTTATTGTTAGAGGCAGAATAGCCTTGTGTTTAACTGTGAGGACTTACTAACTAGCTTATAATCTTGGGCAAGCTGTTTAACTGCCCTGAGCCTTAGTTTCCTAAGCCATAAAATGAGGATAATAATATTGCTTTACATTTTAGGATTATTTAGAAGATTAAATGAGTTAATACACATAAAGTAATAGTGCTTGGAAGTGGTTAAGTAGTCAAAGTTTTAGTTATTATGATTAATTTTTAATCTAAAAAGTTTTTGTGTTGTTTTTAAAGATAAAAAATAATCCTAAAAAATAATAATCCTAACTTTACTACATATAATGTAAAATTTGTATCCATGAATTTCAGTAATATACATTCTTTCTGCTTTTTATTTTTAATTAAATTAATTATTTTTAAATTAGGCTCCATGCCCAGTGTGGAGCCCAATGTGGGGGTTAAACTCCATCACCGTGAGATCAAGACCTGAGTTGAGAGAGCTGGATGCTTAATCGACTGAGACACCCAGGTGCCCCTCTTGCTGCTTTTTAAAATTCTGTAGGTGGGGGACCTGGATAGCTCAGTTGGTTAAGCATCTGTCTTCAGCTTGGGTCACGATCCCAGGGTCCTGGGATTGAACCCCACATTGGGCTCCCTGCTCAGCGGGGAGCCTGCTTCTCCCTCTCCCTCTCCCTCTGCTTGCCACTCCCCCTGCTTGTCCTCTCTGGCCCTCTCTCTCTCTGTCAAATAAATAAATAAAATCTTAAAAAACAATTCTATAGATAGAACTAATTATCTTAGTAATGTTAAAAATGTATGAGTATCATTTACTATGCTCAGAGGTATACCCTGCAGTTAAAATATCGCTAACAGTAAAGGACTAACAAAGGAAGATTTACTATGTATACATATATTTGATAAATTAGGAAACTGAATGACATCCCAAATTTAGACTATGACTTTGATCATTTCCTAACACTACACCTATAGCAGCATTTTACATATATTTGAGCAAGTAAAAATATTTGACACCTAGTTTATGTCTCATGAAAGATCTAAAACACATTAGTTAAACTAAAGCTAAAAAGCTAAACATAAAAAGCATGTAGAAAAAAATCAGTTACTTAAACAACTGCTTAGGACTTAATACTTTTGTATTATTTTAATCTGCTTACCCGAAGCTTTAATGGGGCAACATTCTTCTGAGTTCCACTCCAAAGTTCCTGTACTAAATCCCCATAGCATTTAGCCATATGCCCCTTCATACCAATGGGATTTGTCCTAGAAGTTAGAGAGGAAAATCTGTTACCAAAGGTTCTCAAAAATCACAATCACATGGGCATAGAAATGTCTAGCATCTATTTTCTCACATCAAAATTTCTTTTTAAAACAAGAGAAGTATCCCTTGCCCCTTATTTCATACTAAATAGGGCAAATAAGATAAGTCTTTTCTCCCCCGGGGTGAAGAAAGAGATTTAAGTGATAGTGGGTTCATATCAAAGTCATAAAGAGAGGGTAATGAACCAAGAAATACTACCTGTTGAGTTCATAAAGATGTCTCCCTGAGATAAAATACTGTGTCAGTGGCTGTGTGTTACTAACACACTGGATGCTTGAGTTCATGAAGCAAGTGTTTCCCAGGTTACTCAGACCAGTGGCTCCTTTTTCTGTGGGAACTGGAACAAACAATTATGAGAAGGAAGCCTAACTATAGTAAGATGTCGCAGGCAGATCAGTTACTTGTATTTGATGCAATGATTTTTATAATTTTTTTTAATCAGCTAAATGGAGCTAATACTTCTTTATCTGGTCTTGTAATGCCAAAGTAGAGAAGGTTTTTCATCGACAGTCACTGGCAATCATGATAATCCAAGCTCATTTGTAATCTAAAACTAGCAAAGATTCTCTTTAACTAGTGCTAAGATAGTTTTTTACAATTCAAACAATCCTCTCCAGTGTATTATGTCTTTAAAAATATATAAATTATTTAATTGCAAGGTTAGGAAAAAAAAATTGTGATACTCCAGGAAAAAGAAAAAGGGGTCCCAATCAATTTTGAACTAGAAAGCCAGAAGTTGTTAACACTTCAATAGCTGAGAAAGAAAAAAAGAATAATTTTAAGATAATCTCTTTAGAAATAATTAACCAGAGACTTACCCTTGTGTCTATCTATTTTACTACTGTTTGCTATAAAGGACATTTCCTCAGGCCAACTCATATCTTTGTTGCGAACTGGAAAGACAGAGAGAGGAACGTGTTAATTTCTTATCCGTTCAAATCACACCCACTCAATTGCTTCTGTTTAAAAAAAAAAAATTTCTTGTTTCTAAATCAGAAACTGAAAAAAAAAATTGAGTTAATTTTAGTAATTGATTCTGAAACCATTCCAATTCTTTATATTGGGGACTTCATAGCCACTTGATTAGAATTCATTAGTAAGCTATTCCCTCAATTACCAACCTGAATTATAATTATACTCAAACATCTATAGAAGTAATTAAAGCTCTTAAACTTAATGCATTAGAATTATCACAATTCCTTCTTAAATTATGACAACTGTTAGAATAATCTATTTTATTTATTTATTTTTCAACTTTTTTAAATTTTATTATGTTATGTTAATCACCATACATTACATCATTAGTTTTTGATGTAGTGTTCCGTGATTCATTGTTTGCATATAACACCCAGTGCTCCATTCAATACATGAGAGACTATGGACTGAGAAACAAACTGAGGGTTCTAGAGGGGACGGGGGTGGGGGGATGGGTTAGCCTGGTGATGGGTATTAAAGAGGGTGGGTATTGAATGGAGCACTGGGTGTTATAATCTATTTATTTTAATACAAAGGCAGTCTGCAGTGTTTCCAAAAATCTTGAAGGGAAAAGATACATTTTTAAGTTTACAGTGACATGTCCATGTCAGTGTGTAAATCTATGTGTGGCGAGTGACCAGCGTTTGATGACTAATGAAAGCCTCTGCCACTAACTATGCCAGAAAGTTAGTTTTCTTACTCAAACTCAAAAAGGCAGGTTGAAATTTTATAAATTTATAACTGAATTCACTTGTTTCTACCCAATGTTTCTATTCCTTGCCAACCAATGAATGCAGACATATTTTTCTTTTAAAGCAATCTAGATAGTATGTAGGATTACATAAGAGCTTAATGGTTTTTCTTTACTATAAAGAATATAATGATCAAATAATAGAAAAATTATAAAACAGATTATTAGTAACTAAATCTTTAAATTCTTTCCCTAAAACCTAATATAGATGCATGCTTCCATCTTATACCTTCAATAACCAGATGCTGCTCATCTTGGATTTTCAAATATTCCAATCTATGATCCTCATCATCCAGAAGAGTAAGGTAATTCTGTGTATGGAGGAGGAAATGATTTTGTTAATTTGATTACTAAACTAAACTTGAAAAGGAAATAAAAATGAATGATAATTAAAACAATTAAACACGTCCTTGTATTTCCATAACTCATGTGACAGATATTTTGCATATTATAGTTGTTCATAAATATTTATAATTTAGGTGGCAAAATGAGAGAAAAACAATGTCTGCTTTATAAACAAATACTTTATGCTCTAAAACAAAATTATAACAGAATTTTGGGGAGATCAGAAGACTCATCACACACCAACCCAAAATTCATTGAGATTTAGATTTTCTGAAGCACTTGTACAAAAGAAATTTTCTTTAGTATCTAGTATGAAATTCAGTAAACATGCTTATGATCAAGATGAAACTTACCAGGAACCAAAAATATAAAATCAAAGTCCTACAGTAGAATTACATGTTTTTGTTTGTGCTCACAAAACTAAGTTATTTAATTCTAAGGGAGATACTATTATGTATGAGAAAATTGAGACAGTTAAGTGACTTGCTCTGGATTATACAAGTAAACAAGTGGCAGGGCCAGGATTTAATCCCTGGCAGCGTGGCTCCAGGAACGGTGCTCTTAACTATTATACTATACTGCCTCTCAATGGTGATCACAGGAAGATATAAAGAGGGAACAATGGAATAGAGAACAGGTTAAAACTGCATATCTTATGATCCAATTTCAGAGTATAATCTGAAAACATACTGCATGTGTTAGGAAGAATATATAACCAATTAATAGCACTACCTCTGAGGAGGATGGGAGACAGGGGTCAGAGAATGAGAATGAAGAATTTTCACTATATATTTTTGTACTGTTTGGATCTTTTTCAGCATGTGTACAAGTCACCTTACAACAGGAAATGACTTACCTCACTGTTGTAGAGCCACAGGCGCATATCTTCCTCTTTGATGCGTAGCCTTTGAGACAGATATTCATGAATTTCCTTGATGGTCTGCATTCGACTAAAACAGCCTGTATAGGCTAAGACCCGCTTTAATGGCGCATTCGGAGAAGGTACATTTCCTATGGTCAAGGTAATCATAATAAGGAAAAAGGTAGATGTAAAAAAAAAAAAAAGGCACCCCATTCAGCAATGACTGTTTTAGGAAATAATGATGAGAAATGAGAATTATAGGCTTAATAATTTTATAAATTAAGAAGCTTTAAAATTAAGATAGGAGACCACCTGTGTTAAGTTCAAAGCCCTTAACTTTGGAAGGAAGAGCAACAAAACCAGAAGCCCAAGTAACAGGTAGTATTTGGATCCCAAGAGGAGTGGCAAATATCAACAACAGACATGGTATCTTGGCTGCCCTCAGCAGGGTCACACTAAATAGCAAAATCAGTATTCAATGTAAGAATGGGGAAGATCATATGGGACTGGATTTGAATTCCACAGATAACTGGATTCACTAAAAAGAATTCCACAGAAAATTGAATTCATTAAAAAGAAAACCACTGGCCCAAAATTGGATTACTTATGTTAAAGCTCTAAGTCAGTAAACTAAGACTTATTAATACCTGACCTAACTGTAGTTTCAAACCCCTAGAAATGTAACCTTTAACCGGTCAACATGGGAATTTCTTCGTCAGTACTAGGAAATTTATTGATAGACCCTACTATTCCCTTTAAAAGGGAGACCTTGCTTAAAACAATGGAATCTTTGTGAAGAGTTTCCTTTTTTCCACTCCCTCTCTACCTAACACTTTTTTTCCTTTTTTCTGTAGCTCTTGGGAGCACCCCTCTACTTGCTAGAAGGGACGTTGCCAGATTCATAAATCAATTAATAAAGCCAATTAGATCTTTCAAATTTACTTGGTTGAATTTTTGTTATTTAACAACGTGACCCACTTTCTTAAAATAAATTGTCTTTGAATTACTAATCCCATCACTCCCAGTAATTAAGTGCCCCAAATACCAGGCACAGAAGTACAATTACACAAGAAACTTTTACTTAAAATTCTAAATAGGCAGAGACTCTACAATGGCCAGAGTTTAAAGTGAAACCAAGAACGTTCCCATGACAAAAAAAATTGCCACGCTGAAAAGGCAGGAGGCAGGAAAACCATATGACCTGCCTGCAAAATAAGATGACAGCAGAAATGATCTTGAATTGCAAGAGGGCTCAAGAAACAAAAAGAATGGTAGTAAGGGGAAAGAGAGATAAGTGAAGAAAGAATATATCAAGTTTAACCACCTACTTCAAAAGAGAAGGGGGATGAAGCAACAAGAGATTATGAAAGTCAAAAACAGGTTGCTAATACAATTAACTAAACCTTGGTTTACTATTCAGCCAAAAACCCAGGCAAGAGCTGTAGCTTAAAATGGTCCTCTCTAGCTATAGTAGGTTATAGTTTACCGAGCAACCCCAAACAAAAATAAACATAGCATATCAATATAATCCATCTAGGGTACAATTATACATGCCAGGTAATTTTCTACCCATCCAAAGGAGACTCAGCTTTTTTCCTCTTATTAAATGCCTTTGAATCTTCACCTACTAAACAAAGCAGAGAAAAGTAATGGTATCATCTGCTTTATTTTTTTTTAAAGATTTTATTTATTTGACAGAGACAGACACAGTGAAAGAGGGAACACAAGCAAGGGGAGTGGGAGAGGGAGAAGCAGACTCCCCACTGAGCAGGGATTCTGACAGATGAGCAGGGATTCTGACAGACGTGGGGCTTGATCCCAGGACCCTGGGATCATGACCTGAGCCGAAGGCAGACGCTTAACAACTGAGCCACCCAGGCGCTCCTATCATCCGCTTTTTAAAGAGCTTCCAAAAAGAATTCACTCACCTCAAACAGGCTGAAAAACCATATGAGAAACAAAGACCCTGTAGCCTTATCTGTCACAAGGCTATGTTTAAGTCACTGTTAACTGTGTCACAGTTTGTACACCCATCACTTCAGAAGTAATAAAAGAGTCTAGTAAACAGCCCTAATACACTGAGTAATGAGAAAGATGAAAAATAAGTTATGGCAGAACAAAACCCAACCATGATCAATTTTTAAACCTAGCAAATAGCCTAGCAAATATTTTACTATCAGATAGCAAGCAAAGGATAATTCTTAACAGAAAATAAAAGAACAAAATTTTCCAATTATACATCAGAGGATTAGTTATAAGATTACAGCAAGAAAGCGTATTTTCATAAACTTCAAAACGATTAATGATTGATTTCAGAATTAATTAGTAAGGAATAAAATTTCAAATTAAGAATAAATTTGGAGCATAACTACCCAGTTCAAGGATTTAGAAGCATTTGCAAGTGTAGTGTCCAAGTCAATTTCTCTTGTTGTAAGCCACATAAGAAATTTATTTGAATTCTAGACAGTTTTTATAGCATAGCTCATTAAGCAGGCAGCCACTTATTACACATAATTTTGTGTTTTTGAATAGCACTAACAAATCTAGTGGAATTTACAGAAGCAGCAAAAATCTAGGATCAGCACAAGAGTTACAAAGAGTACTTACTAAAAGCGCAACAACACATCTTGCTTTTCATGTTATCTTTCAAAGAGAATTGAGAAAGATATATGCTATGGGTGCCATGGAAGCAAGGTGAATATTTTTATTCAATGGAAAATTAAATCAAGAATGTTTCACAGTGATTCTATTTCACTGCTCCTCGATTTTGACATTTTCCCAAGTTTGGTTAGGCAGAAGCCAATGCTTTGCTATAATTCTTACCAAACAATATGTGTAAGAATATCCAATATCTTATGTGAATATAACCTTTAAGGAAGACAAACTATTTGATTTCAAAGGAGGAATGGTGCTCATAGGGTTGGTTTGGGTTCAAAGGTAGTTCTTGCATCCTAAGTTATATTAATAACATTTTGGCATTGTTACACAAAGTAAGACTTTGTGTAAATGTATAATTCATTATTTCTGCTGAAGAACAATGTCAAATATTTGCAAAGCAAAAGCATAGAGCCAAGTCCTGCCTATCAATAAAATTTAACCTCACAAAGAAATCAAAGGGAACTTTCTGCATGTAATACATTAAAATGGGAACTTATATGTCATTTTGATAGGCTTGATGTTTTTTTCTTTAAATTTTTTATTGTTATGTTAATCACCATATATTACATCATTAGTTTTTGATGTAGTGTTCCATGATTCATTGCTAGGCTTGATGTTTTTCAAAGCAAATGTGCCATTTTAATTTTCAAAAATATATTCTTCACTTTATATTATCTGTCTCTTATAAAGACTCCTTGGACCAAGCATGAGAAATGTATCATGTTTTGCCAAAAGAGTCCCCCAAAACACCAACAAATAAACAGAAATATGATATTGTGAAAGAAATTACTTTTCAGATATTTGAGTGGAGTTGAAAAGACCAGTCAGTCATTGACTGGCAGATTCTAACTTAGGACAAATAATTTATAATGGCTTCTTTTCTTTGTATGCTTACAAACCAGAAAAGGAAACAATTCTTCTCAGTTTGATGATGAGACTTTGCCACTACCCCATCTAGTCTTGCGCATGACCATAGATCTAAGCCCCACAGATGATTTACTGATTCTGTATGAAAGTAGATGGGAATATGTGTTAGTACAGTGGCACCAGACTTTGAGCAACTTGGTTGTTTTTGTTTTTGAAAGAGATGTATGGTATTCTTGCTGCATTCTTAAGTTACCTCTTGGTAAATGCTGAGGAAACATTCTCAGGCTCATCATACCCATATTCACCCAGATGTTAGACTGCTGTGTCCGAGTGGCAGGCTGCTGTCTTAGAAAGAGAAGATATCGAGGAAATAACTCCAGCTCTGGGATTTCTGTCTTGCTATTCTTGATCACCTATTGTTATAAAAGATATAATGTGATCACTATAAAAGAAACAAAACTTGTCATTTTTTACCGAATTTCTGAGATTTATTTTTAAACTAAAATGTTCAATAGGTTCACTACCTATGTTAGATTACAAAGATTCATAGATTTAAATTACATGGGTTTAAATACTCTCAGGCTCCTGGTCCTAAACCTATCTTCCAAGATTAGAACTCCTGGTGATTATTTTCTCCTCTTTTATTTAAAAGCAAGTAACACTGAAATTAAGGGGAAAAATCCTAAATATTATCTATAATTCTATTCCCTTCACACTATAATTCTTTTCACTTTTACATACTTCATGTATATAAATGATGTCCTTTAAGGGACAAATTCTTAGGTCTGGAGTTGTAAGTCAAAAAGTATGGAAGGCCATATCATTAACTATCTAAGTTATTTTGCCAGCCAAAGCGTAGCAATTTATAATATTCTCAGAAATTTATGAACATATTTCTCTCATAAAACCTTATCAGTGGACATCATTTGAAAATACCCTGTTTCTTTAACACATATAAAGAATATTATAAATTTGCTTAAAATTTTATTTCTTATATTAGTAGTAAGGATAAAAATGTTTTCATATAAAAATTTGCTATGTTCTACTGTAACTGGTTTGCTCAATATATTTTTGTCTATGATAAAGACAATTACAGTGGGTGAACGAAATTGAGATTCATGTTGAAACAGGATTTTTCAGTAACCCCCTCCAATAATGTGCTTGCCAGCCCAAAGACACAGGAAAACATTTCATTATAAAAATACTGCTCCAAGAGTTTTAAGAGTAGAACATTATCAATTTAGTATTCCAAAAGGATAGCAGGATTAACATACTTTAAAACATAAAATCCTACATAATCTTTAACAGTCCAAGTGATCAGGTTTTATTTTATTTCCTTCTGCCCTAGTAACCAATGTCTTCTGCAATAGAGCATTTTTCAGTATCAAGAGGGGGCAGTAAAGAACCAAATGAAAACAATGCTACAAACCAAACAATTAGGACTTTTTCTTAAAAGTATTCTGCATATTCTGATATGCTACAGTATGGCACTTGAAAAGTTCCATTCGGGAGCTTTTTCAAATCCTACTTAAATGATAAGCAGTAAAAGGGCTCTCCCTGGTATTCTCCTCTAAGACTGCTGGACGAAGTCTGTCCACTTCTAGACAGGTACTAATAGCTACAAAGCCAACCATAATTTCTTATGATTTCAGTTTAATATGATTTGAGGCAAGATTAATAATTCAGTATTGGTAGTTGTCAGGCTACATAAAAAACATACCTTTGGCAGAATTTGAACTGATAATGAAGTAGTTTTTATAATATGCATCTTGTTTGCCAAGATAAATGATTTTGTGAAAAATTACAAATTAACAAATTCTTATGCACAAACATACAAAAACACATATTTATTTACATTTTAATTATTCTTGTCTTTGAACTTGTTAACTTCAGTGGCAACTGGCAAACAATAGATGCAATTCCGTGCGCAAGAATTTGCCTTAAAGAGATCACACATTTGGAAAAAACCCTGAGATCAAGACCTGAGCTGAGATCAAGAGTTGGATGCTTAACCGACTGAGCTACCCAGACACCCCAAAGATATTTTTAAATAAGTAGTATGACTTATGTAAGTATAAAGGTGAAAGCATTCACTTTTAACCTTGCCATGGCAATACATTTAGTATTCTCTACCTGAAAACACCATTTTATTTTATTGTCCTTTTTTTAAAAAGATTTTATTTATTCATTTGAGACACAGAGATACAGAGGGAGAGAGAGAACATGAGCAGGGGGAGAGGCAGAGGGAGAAGGAGAAGCAGGCTCCCCGTCTAGCAGGGAGCCCAATGTGGGGCTCAATCCCAGGACCCCGGGATCATGACCTGAGCCGAAGGCAGACGCTTAACCATCTGAGCCACCCAGGCGCCCTGAAAATACCATTTTAAATGTTTTTTGCAGCATTTTTTCCTGAAATCAGGCAAATGTGTCATATTTAGAGATGAAAAAAATTCTATCAAGCTAGCAAATGCAGCTTTGATCTAGTAAAATTATTTTAATATTTGTCTGGCATCAATGTAAAAAACATACCTTGTGTGAGGCTCTGAAGATGACGATGATGATGCTATTAGCAACTGTCAGCATTTGCTGACCACTTACTATAAATCAGATGCTGTGCTAATTGTATGTATTATTTAATTATCAAAACAACTCTAATGAAGTAGATACGGTCATGTTCATTTTAGAGAAGAGGAAGAAACTAAGGTTTAGAGATTGGGACACTGGTAATCCAAATCTAGGCAGGCTCTAAAACATCAAACTATATATATGTCAAACACAATTATCACAATGTTTTCCCAGATATAGAATATAAAGATAAAGCTGGAAAGTCCCAGAAATTAAGTGACTAACTGAAGGACTACCCCACCTCCCAATAAATAAAGTATATATATGTTTATGTATCTATGTACATTCGTATTTGTATGTATCTTCTAGGAGTTCTGATGCCAAATACAGTAGGAACCTTTTGGAGCCAACAGACACAAAGCCCAAATTCCTGTTTCCGACTTAAACACAATTTTTAATAAACATAATTATTAGTTAGTCAAAGTCAACATCAAAATTATAGACTAAGGCTTTACAGCAGACTTCTTCCTCTCTTTGGAAGTGATCTAAGTTACTGTATCTCATTTATGCAAACTTTTCTGGTGTAAGAAATTTCAATCTGGAACATTATATGAGGGAGAGTGTTTCTTGATCTACAAAAAGAACCTTCTTACGAAGTATTTTACTGCATTGACAACACAAAGAGTGTTCAGGGTATGAATCCTAAGCCCAACAGTATAATGGTATAGTTAACTCGCTAATATTGTGATATTATATACTTCAAGTCTTTTAAATTACTTCAGAGCATTTTATTTATGCTCTCAATGACTCATCCTAGTAATGGCAACAATCAGAATTCACTTGCCTTGGATTCCTGTTATCACCCTGTTATGATCATTTTTGTGTCCTTCCCTCAAAAAGACAAAACACAAAAATCCACCAACAACTATGGGATGAACCAATCCCTAAATGGATGCCTGTGTGGTTAATAAAGATAACAGTCTCAGAAGTAATCATTGCACCACTTCCCCTATATTCACTGAACTTTTCAGCACCGGCTCTCAGACTTCTGCTCCAGCCTAAGCCCTACATTATCCTAAAGTCTGCGTTTATATGGATGACTTATTTAATAGCCTAGCCTCACAATCCCTTGACTTTATTTAGTCCAGTGACTACTCCCTCCGCTCCAGGTAAGCCACCCACTCCCACAGGCACATCATTGTAGAGCTGGTACTAATACAGTACTCGGTGAATGTATGAATAAATGAATGAATAAATGTAAAGAAATCTCAATTTTGTTCAACTAATTTACAGGTACTGAGTACTCTGTTGCCATTAGTAAGAACTAATTTGTGGATAGTGAGATTCATATAGAAAAGTAATGGAAGACCCAACCAGGACTGTTCCTTTCATAAAGCACCACTGGTTATACTTACAGGTCTGGGTAGAGCCAGATTTGCTCCATACCAGTGATAAAGCGCTCTCCACACAGGTTCTGGGACCATTTCATAATCTCTTCCATGGATCAGCTGTGGCGTTCGTTTTAATCGTCCTCCTTCTAGTGTTAATGATGTAGCCTTAGAAAGAACGGAATACAAATGTTGATATTTAATATTTTTAGTATTACAGTCTCGTGTTTTAACAAAATCTAGACACAGGAGAACAAACACATATGTCACTATTCAGTTTCATGTTATCGGAAAGTAATTTTCTAAACGAGATTTTTATTTTTAACTTTCGAAATAAATTATTTAAGAAAGAGAACTCAAGGCAAATCATTTGAAAAATCACTAGAGCATTTGGAAATGAGACTGGCTTAGAAATTATTATTTTGGAAAAAAATTCCACATACACATAAAACTACATTTTCAAAGTAGCTGTCCTAATAAGAATATTTCTAAGGATTACTACACTGCTTCTATGCAATTACTAAATCATAAAATATCCTCACAGAAATATACTGTGCAGAGATTTCCATCTCCAACAGGTTAATTTAATGAACCATGATGTACGAATGTCATGCTATACATTAAAACCTCTAGAATGAAATTTATTTGCCACTTTTTTGAAAGAGAATTGTTTTACATAGATGTCGTATCACCTACCTTTACAGGTTCTTGAGTTACTAGTGGCTGGTTATCAATAGCCCCTGGTTTCTGAGGATTGAGATGCAACAAAATATTCCCATTGGCTCCTAGCAAACACTGGTTATTATTGTCAGACGTGTTATGTTGTCGGGCAAAGCACATATCTGCCCCTGGTGTGGCAGAATACAGAAAGCCTGTAAGGGAAAAGAGGATGGAATCTCTTTATTTTTAGTTATTATACATAAATAGGCTTGAAGATATGAACTCAATGTCCATGTATTAGATTAATGCTATTTTTCTGTTGGCATGTCAGTACAGTATAAGATTTTGATAACTCTGCAGAAGATAGGAAATACAGACGTCATCCTTCTGGACAATACCTACCGTAACACTAGGTGGAAGAAAAGCTTTAAAAACTGTTACCAAATGAGGTGCCTGACTGGTGCAGTCGGTTAAGTGTCCGACTCTTCATTTCAGCTCAGGTCATGATCTCAGGGTTGTAAGATCCAGCCCCACGTCTGGCTCCACACTCAGCTCAGCGTGGAGTCTGCTTGGGATTCTTTCTTTCCCTCTCCCCCTGGCCCTGGTCCCCCTCAACCCCATTCACATGCTCTCTTTCTAAAATAAATAAATACAAATCTAAAAAAACAAACAAAAAACCCCCCAAAAAACCAACAGTTACCAAATGAACATTTGGCCAGCATCCTAAAATATCTAATAATTCACAAGAATTATACATCCTCTGATAGAAAAGGAAGAGGTATGGTCAAATACCTGGGATCTCACATAGTCACCCTTAATTCTTTTTTTTCACCTGTAAACACATTCCAAATGTTCTTAGTAGATTGGCCATAAGAAGTCTCTAAACCAAAGGGAAGGAGCTAAAACAAGAATTGTAACAGAAGAGTGCCAGAGAGGAGGGAACTTCCCTAATAAATTTATTTCAAAGGAAGGCATGCCAGGTTACAATAGAAAAATGCACACAGAAAAATGATTAATGATGACTTAAGAGTTGTGAACCTCAATGGTATTTTAAGCTTTTTCAACTCTGAACTACAGACTAACCATTCTAGCCATCAACTGAGTAAACATTCTAGCCATCAGTCACTTTAAACCTTTTGTCTGCGGCACTGCTCAGCCTATGGGTAGCACAGGTCAGGGTAAGCACATAACAAAAAGGACCTTAGAGAGGGTTAAAAATAATCTTGGTGTTAAAGCTCATCAGAGACAGAACTTCTAGGACTGCTGAATGATCGCTGTAATGTCAGATGGGGAACAAGAAGGAGTAGATTCTACAAAGAACTTTGTAGAGAGGATGCTAGATCTGTCCAATTTGCCAGATCTCAAAGATGAAATAACAACAGAGTAAGGTTGAGAGCACTGCCACTGTTATCAGCAGAAGGATCAGCTTAACTCAACTATGCCACAAACATCAAAGTATTTTCCCCAAATGTGTAGAACATTGAGTTTTAGTGTTTTTTTAGTTTTTAGTTTTAGTCCTACCAAAGACTGTAGGGGATTATGGGAAGCATTATGACTTTTTCTCAATAGTTTAACAAAATAATCCCCCAATTCCAGCCTGAAATGTCTGTAGAATCTGATATGAGGGTGCATTTAATCCAATGAAGGCAGAGAGTCTCGGAGATGGAATTTTAGATTATCTCAAAAATGGTCTTTTCTCAAAAACTGTCTTTCCAAATTATTGACAAAATAATAGCAATACAGAAAGAAGTAGCTTTAATCAATGAAAAAAACAGTGATATTTTTTTTTTTTTTTTTTTTTTTTTTTTTACAAATGAACTTATTTATTTTAAGGAGGTCCACGCCCCATATGGGCCTTGAACCACAACCCTGAGATCAAGAGTTGCATGCTCTACTGACTGAGCCAGCCAGGCGCCCCAACAGTGAACATATTTTCAAATTGAGAGATTAATGAAGTAGAATATAGAAGAGTTTCTCTTTGTAAAGCTACTAATATATTCAGGAATTTTATAATTGACCATTTCACTGAAAACTTATTTCTGTGAATAGAAACCTGATTATATCCTACGAAGCACATTTCTGACAAAGTATACTCCTTTAAGACGTGACCCTCAATAAACTTTATGGGAAACAAGCCATACTTACCACTGCCAGCAGTTTCTGAGGCTTCAGATGCAGAAGAAATGTTGTCTGAAAATTTCTCTTCTGTGGTATTCACGTAAGTGAGGCTGCCTCCTCCAATTCTATCTTCACTCTGCTCTATACAATGTACTGCTGTTCCAAATGAGTATTTTCCTCCATTCAGAACAGATGATGGCTCAATTACAACAGGGCTGGCATCCTAAAAATCACGAAGAGATTAAAAGGTACAATTTAATAATCCAAGAACTAAGCAGCCTTCAAAAATGAATCCCCAAATTACCTATTGCTTCTAATCCTCCTGTAGTTAGCTACTGCCAATTAAGAACTTTTTTTTTAAGATTTTATTTATTTTTTGACTGAGAGAGGGAACACAAGCAGGGGGAGTGGGAGAGGGAGAAGCAGGCTTCCCACTGAGCAGGCAGCCCAATGCTGGGCTCGATCCAGGACCCTGGGATCATGACCTGAGCTGAAGGCAGACGCTTAATGACTGAGCCACCTAGGTACCCCAATTAAGAACATTTTAATGTATAACTAAATTTTAGTTTTTTCCAAGAGGAAGAGTGTGTATAAATAAAATTGGTAACGCAGACTGGGAACACATACTGCAAAGGACTCTGACAGAAAGTGAGTGAGTGATGTACGTATGTATGTGTTTATTTAATTTAAAAAAAAATCTTTTTTTAATCTTTTAAGATTTTATTAATTTGACAGAGAGGCAGAGAGACAGCACAAATAGGCAAAGCAGCAGGCAGAGGCAGAGGGAGAAGCAGGCTCCCAGATGAGAAGGGAGACCCATGCGGGGCTCCATCCCAGCACTCTGGGATCATGACCCAACCTGAAGGCAGACACTCAACTGACTGAGCCACCCAGGCGCCCCTGTTTATTTATTTTTTAAAGATTTATTTATTTATTATTGCAGAGGGAAGCAGGGGGTGGGGGTAGGGAGGGGAGGAGCAGAAGGAGAAGGAGAGAGAATCCCCAGCAGACTACCTGCCAAGTGCGGAGCCCAACATGGGTCTCGACCTCCTGACCCTGAGATCACGACTTGAGCCAAAATCAACAGTCAGACACTCAACCGAGCCACCCAGGTGCCCCTGTTTATTTATTATGTTTTAAAGTAAGCTCTACATCCAATGTGGACCTTAAAAGCATGACCCTGAGATCAAGAGTCGCATGTTCTACCGATTGAGCCAGCCAGCCAGCAGCCCAGGTGCCCCGAACACAAGGTAATTTAGGCTTTATTCTGTTGAAAACTGAAAATCATGGAAGGTTTTTTCTTATATTAAAAAATTAAATAATATTTATTCTTTTTATTATTACAGATTCTACAGACCAATATCACAAATATGCCAAATGACCCCATCATTTAGCATTAACTACAGTTGATATTTTGATGTTTCCTTTATTTTTTTGTGACTGAAAACATACACATACATGTAAAAAATAGTGTGCAGTATATAGTTGGAATTAAGGGCAGCTCTCTGACTTACCAGCTATGTGAACTTTCACAATAATTTTTTTTAAGTAGGCTCCACACCCAGCATGGAGCCCAACACAGGACTTGATTGAACACACTACTCTGAGATCAAGACCTGAGCTGAGATCAAGAGTCAGATACTTAACTGACTGAGCCACCCAGGAGCCCCCACAATAAGTAAATTTCTAAGCCTCAGTTTCTTCATGGGTAGAAATCAGGATAATATTAGTATCTATCTCAGAGTTACTGTGAAGATTTCATGAGCAACGTATGTAAGGTGCCTCGCATTTAGTAAATGTGAACTATCATTCTGGTTGCTATAAAACAGGTATTACATTTTATTTTTTAATTTTTATTTTTTATAGTTTTTCTTTTTTTTTTAAGATTTTATTTATTTATTCATGAGAGACAGAGAGAGGGAGAGAGAGAGAGAGAGAGGCAGAGGGAGAAGCAGGCTCCCAAGGAGCAGGGAGCCCGATGAGGGACTCGATCCCAGGACCCTGGGATCATGACCTGAGCTGAAGGCAGACGCTTAACCATCTGAGCCACCCAGGCACCCAGGTATTACATTTGAAACACAGCATATAGTTTTTCTTTCACTTAGCTTATTTTCACAGGATTTTTCTGTGAGAGGCTTTCAAACGGAATAGTCTAATCCATTTTTTACTTCAAAAAGTACTCTCAGAAAGGACTAGAGGCAGAAATGGAAAACTGAGACACAAGTTAGAGGTATCCTGTAATGGGGCGCCTGGGTGGCTCAATCGGTTAAGCATCCAACTCTTGATTTCAGCTCAGGTCATGATCTCGGGGTTGTGGGATCAGGCCCTGTGTCAGGCTCCTTGCTCAGCAGGGAGTCTACTTGAGATTCGCTCTCACTCTCCCTCTGCCTCTCCCTTCCCCGCGAGGTCTCTTCTCTCTAAAATAAATATAAATAATTTTTTTAAAAAAAATAAAGTGTTAAAAAAAAGTGGCTCCTATAATAATTCAAGGCAAGAGATGATAAGGTACTAATCCATAAAGCTAGATCCAGAAATAAGTAGATGGAGAGAAGAACATGGATTAAGGATATGTAGGAGGTGAAAAAATTTGACAACTAATTGTGTATGAAAGAGGAGCAAAGATAACTCCAGGTAGAACCTGAGGGGCTGGTGTAGATGATTAGATGGGAGTTGGCACCTTTATAAGATAAAGTATATGAGTTAATGGGATCATTTGGGGAATGAGCTTATTTTGGGATATTCTTGTTTGAGTTACCTGGACACTTGAGTCTTGTGGTCAGGACAGAAAAAGAGGCAGAATATAAAAATTTGAAGCTCAAGAGCCTTCCTGAAGAATAAGAACATGGTGTATGTAGAATAAGGAGAGAACAAAATTTACAAAATAGGCAACGTAAGAATCTGGAAGGACACTGAATCTGATGATGGAAGAAAAATCAGGAGTACAGTACCAGAAGCAGAGACTACTAGCACAGAATTATTTTCTACTAAGTTTAGTGATAGAAAAACAGAACGGTAAGATTCTGAGAACATTTATCTATGAATGTTTTTAGAAGATCAGGATATTTGTAACTGAGAGGGTAAAGAGAAAGACTAAAGGGATTTACCAGTGAAACAAGGTCCCACAGGCATCTGAGGAGATTTGCAATAGCATGGGGAGAAGAACTCAAGTTGCATTCAGTAAACACTGACATGCATTTTATGGAGAAAACTGATTACTGGAGGCACTGCTTATAAAGCAAATGACCCAACCCAAGAAAAATATCCAATTTAAAAGACGAACTCCAAGTAACAGCATAGCAATAGCACAGTGGGGGCTTTAGTTTCTTTTAATGCAATCAGAGCATCCCTAATTTTAGCGCAGAGAGACACTGGATCAACATTTTATTAGATGCTTTCTCCTCTCTTATCTATAAGCCAGGTGAATACTATCAATCTGTAGATCCTTCAGAAGACAGCTCCGAAGAAATTTCAGTGCCTTTAACTGAAAGAGTGGCAAGAAGAATGAGAATAAAACCTAGGTCCCTTTCTACAGACCAAATGACTTTTGGGATTAAATTTTTTAAAATATCAAGTGTTAAAACTTCAATTCAGAAGCATATGGATTCTTTATAACAGATCCTAATGTTGGCATCTTCTGTCAATAAGTTTCCTAAAGTATGGGAAAGGTACCAGATTATTCTGGGTATTAAATAACCTAGTTCACAGTGAAAAAGTTAGTCCCTATCAATTCTCTCTCAATCCTCTAATTACTTCAAGGAAAGGGTCCCCATTTGGTACTAATGTGCTAATCTTTTTTTTTTTAATGTGCTAATCTAATACTTGATCTGCTAATGAACACTTGATCATTTCTCTTTTTAACAGAGAACAGATCTTAATACTAGTCTTCAAAGGGCAATACTATTTAGCTGGAATTTGATATTTTCACTGAATTTATTTTTATTTTGACCTTCTATTTCTGGAGTGTGACACTGATTTTTTATTTAAGATACTGATATAAAGTTTATTTTAAAAATACATTTATTTACATAAAAATGATAAAGTAATTTAAATAAACATATTAAGCAAATAATTTTATGGGCATTATATGGCAAAATATGATGGCCATAGTACACAAATGACTAAAAACTGGGAATCTACATTAAATATGAATTTTGGGCATTAGGATTTATTCTTTTCTTAAGTAAGCTCTATGCCCAACATGGGGCTTGAACTCATGACCCGGAGAGCAACAGTTGCATGCTCTACCGACTGAACCAGCTAGGCGCCCCCATCAGTATTTTAAATTAGACTATGCACCAAAGAAATCAAAATTGTATGGACAACAGAACAAAAATAACCTATGGCTAAAGAAGCTGAAATGTAAATTAGGCTTGAGTAATTTATATTATTAATCCTATGTTTGGCCTTCAGTGTGTGGATTTCATGGCAATTTCTTAAAGATAATATTGATTGTCTCACAGCTTTTCTGATGTCGAGTCCATACCAACGAAAATGGATTCAATTTAAATTAAGTTTCAAAAGAAATTTTCAGTAAACAAGATGACTTATTTATATTAATTCAATCTTTTTTTTTTCAATTATGCTTTTTGATTTATTTGGTCTGGAGCGGAACAGAGGCATTTCTTTTCTTCCTTTTTTTGTAAAGGCCTTTATGTGATCCTATTACGCAGTCAAAATTGATTACCACTGCCCTAGTGAGGATTTGTTTTCATAACGTGCTCCAAACTCTGAGAGTATAGTAGTAACTGATTTCTTACTGAATGTACTACTTGCTCTGGAACTTGCTTTTTAAAAAGCTTCAGATTTTAATGAACCTTTGGGTCATTTGCTTCTTTCCTATAAAGATGGAGTAAAACTAATAAGATAGCCATTTTGAAAGAATAACTTGAAAAATTAAAGTCTTCTAGCAGGTCACTTCATTATCCTACAGGAAAATCACTTTATTTCTGCTACAAGTGTTCTTGAACTTAAATGATGTCCACATAACTATCATGTGGACTTGACAGGCAACTCTTTTTAAAATTTATATTCAATTCTCTATTCCATTCAAGTTTGTTTATGTACTATAAGATACTTTTAAAAAATATGTATTAATAAATTTTGAGGAAGATTGGGTCTCCTTTAATTCCACTTGAGTAAAAAATTTCTTCAAGCTTTCCTCTGAGTTTGACATTTTTTTATTATTTAAAAAAATTTTTTTATTAACATATAATGTATTATTTG